ACAAGCCCTGAACCCACATGTCCTCAGTACCTCGTTTCCCCCTGGGCCTCAGTGTCCCACTCTGTGAAATGAGCCACTGGGTTGGGCCATCTTCAAGGTCTTCTCTGGCTTCTGGATTCCCATGTGGTTGCTTTTAAGTGGTTTTTGAGTTGATGTTTACATTGACGTTTACGGGCTCAGCATGTCCCTTTGGGCTGAGCCCAGGGGCTGGGCGGTCAGAGGACACAGTGGATTGGTGTTCCAGCAGGTGAGGACGTCACGGTGTGGGAAGGTGTACCGTGTTTCATAAGGGCCCTGGCTGCAGGCTCTGATCGCCATACCCTTGAGGTCACTGCCAGTGGACAGATAGAGGGGACCATCTGGGCTGGCCACGTGCGTCATTGCTCTGCTAGTTCTGTTCTTTTCTCTCCAGCCGAACTTTGGACGCTGATGACACACCATGTACTTCGATGCCCCATAGAGCGTCGGGTGGAGAAGTGGAGGCCCCACAGGGCAGGGCAGTGGGCTGGACATCAGCCAGGCTGAAAGGTCTCTCCTGGTCACTGAGTGGGAAGGAGGGAGGCCCAGCAGGCCCAGCTGGAGCAAAGACCGTACTGGGGCCTTCTACCGTTCATGGTCATGTCATGGCTGGGACCCAAGGACAGCAAGAGGCTGGCCCATGGATGCCTAGGTGTCAAGGGCAGCTCTGTAAGACCAGCCTGAGGAAGACCAAACAAAAGAACCCAAACCCAGCTTTCTCTTGATGCTGGAGAAATCTCTAATCCCTGTGGGCGCTAATCTCCTCACTTCAGAACTTGACCTAGCCAGCCTGGACCCTCACCTTCCCACACACGAACTCACTCAGTGTGAGGCTTCCTCCCCTCCCTCCTGCTATAAGGGGCTCTCCTCCCAGGGTGGGGAAGTGGTGGGAGTTGCAGTCACTGTCTGCCTGGCCTTCCAGATCCTCAGACCCTCCCTCCACCACTACCAGGCCCCTGGGAGGCTTCAGTTGGCAGCAGGGATGAGGGGAGAGCCTGGAGCAGAGTCAGCAGGGAACGCGGAGCTTCTTCTGGACTTCAGAGCACTGACTGGGTACCGGTAGGTGCTGCAGAGGAGAGTGCTGAAAGGGCCCGAGCGACCTCGTCCTGGTACCAGGAGCCCAGCTGACGGGACTTTGGTGAGTCGGGTGCTCCTAGCAGTGAGGTGCCCATCTGCTGGGCACCAGGCCAGGTAGGTTTTGGGTGGAATCTAGAGAGTATCCAGTGAAGTCGGCATGGGGAGGTCACTTCCTCCCCAGCTCAGAGGACCTTATGCTGCCCTTTACCTGGAGCCTGCCTCCCCCCCACCCCAGGAGCCCCTGGCTCTCACTGGCAGGGTGCCCTTGGCCAGCCTGAGAGGGCAGGCTGTGGAGCTGTCCAAGGTCATGCAGGGTGTCCAGTAATTGTCCTCGTGCTTTACCTGTTACGGAGCAGTAATGAGAGGGTTTTCATTATTTGCGGGTGAGCGCTCCTGGCAGATGCCGACAGCCAGCAGATGTGTAAAGTCGGCGGTGATTTGTAAGGGGATGCACGGTGATTGCACCGGGCGACGCTGTCACTCAGAGGTGCGTCCCGGCCTGTGGGCACGAGGTAAAGGTCAGTTCACAGAACTGGGGTGGCTGCAGGAAGTGGGGCAGATCCCCCCTCTTATGGGCTCTCGGGGAGAGGGTGGCTTCTGGTGGAGCCCTTCTTTCCCTGGAGCTCTTGGGGGCTGTGACCCTCTGCCTGGCTTGGCTTTCTCGACATTCTGGGATCCTGTGTCTCAGCACCCAAGGCCGAGTCCCAGGGGTTTAGCAAGACCCTGCTGAGAAACACTGAGGATTTGGGGTCTTTGGCCACTCAGGGTGTTGACTTTGTTGCCAGACCCATCATCTCACATGGCTGTCCCCCAGGGCACACCCAGGTGCTACCCTACATAGACCACTCCACATCTCTAGAGCTTCAGCTCACCTGCCCACGGATGCCCTGGAGCAGAGCTGGCTGGGTTCCTGGGGCCATGGGGGCCTTGCTCAGCGTGAAAGCTTCCCAACCCAGGGGTCCAAAAAGCAGCAGCTGCTTTTGCTGGTGTCTGGGGGCCCCACACACCATTGCAGGGAGGGTGCAGGGCTTATAGGCTCTGCTGCTCACTAGCTGTGTGACCTTGGCCAGGTCTCTGCCACCAGGAGCCTGTTTTCTGACCTGTAAAATGGGGATAATGGTTCTTGCTTCATAAGTTCATTTACTCAGCGAGCCCCACCTGTGTAATGTTTTTGTGTTATTTTTTTCGTAGTATCTCATTGTTTTGTTTTGTTTTTTAACTTCTCATCCCTTCTCCCCCAACCCCTGTTGTTAAGCACCATCGAGTCGGTTCCAACTCATAGCCACCCTACATACGCTGCCTGGTCCTGCGCCATCCTCACGATCGTTGCTGTGTTTGAGACCATTGTTGCAGCCACTGCGTCAGTCCATCTCGTAGAAGGTCTTCCTCTTTTTCACTGACCCTCTACTTTACCAACCATGATGTCCTTCTCCAGGGACTGGTCCCTTCTGATAACATGTCCAAAGTACATGAGACCAAGTCTCGCCATCCTTGCTTCTAAGGAGTGTTAATGGTATATTCAATATTCTTTGCCAACACCATAATTCAAAGGTGTCAGTTCTTCTTCAGTCTTCCTTATTCACTGTCCAGCTTTGGCATGCGTATGAGGTGATTGTAAATACCATGGCTTGGGGGGTCAGGGGCACCTTAGTCCTCAAAGTGACATCTTTGCTTTTTAACACTTTAAAGAGGTCTTTTGCAGCAGATTTGCCCAATTCAATGCGTCGTTTGATTTCTTGACTGCTGCTTCCATGGGCGTTGGCTGTGGATCCAAGTAAAATGAAATCCTTGACAACTTCAATACCCCAGCCCCTGGTAATCACTAATTGTTTGGTCTCTGTATATTCGCCTATTCTAGATATTTCAGATATGTGGGATCACACACTCTATGTCCATTAGTGACCGGCTTCTCTCACTCAGCATGATGTTTTCAAGGTTCACCCGTGTTGTAGCATGTACCAGAACTTCATTTCTCTTCATGGCTGACTAATATTCCGTTGTATGTGTAAAGTACATTTTGTTTATCCATTCATCTGTTGATGGACACTTGGGTTCTTTATACCTTGTGGCTCTTGTCAATTATAATGTTTTATTAATAAGATTTATGTTAAGTAATTTTTTAAAATGAAGAAATGACCTGAGACTCTTCTCTGGAGGTCCAAAGCTTCCTTGGAGGGCCATCAAGAGGGAGTGTGGTCGATGGCACAGGTGGACAGGACCCAAAGGGAGGGGGCCTGATCCCTGCCTTCTGCACTGAAGTTTTCAGGGACAAATTCCGCCTCTAAAATGGATACTTTTATTTAAAAGCCCTGTACTTTGGGATGGATTTATGTTGCATTTCAAAGAAGGCTAGTAGTTTAAGCATCCTCAGGTGAGTTCTGTTGTTTGTGCACTTTTTTATCCACATCTGAAGTTGTGTTTGGAATGGCAGATGTGAGGCACTGTCATCTTCCTGTCACACCGATTGTTCACTGTTCTGAGAAGGTCACATCATGATTCATTAGCAATAATTAGTCCCCCGAGGCCCCCTGCACTTCTTCACTCAACTGCTCCATTAATTTGGGTGCGAATTACACATTCCAGGTGCCAATCAATGAAGATCTATCTGTGAGGTCCAAAGGGACACTTATAAGTTACAATATATTAACTGCCTAATTTAAAAATAAAAAAGCTATCTTTGTGAAGGGCAATTAACCACTAAGTATAAATGATAATTCATAAACCTCTGATTAGAAAAGACAAATAATAAGAAAGGAATGAATTGCCTGGGTTATTGAAGAAGAAATGGTACCCACTCCCGGAGCAGGCTCTGTGGTGACTGATTTCACAGCTGGCATTTGTTGTCTCCTTTTTTGGGGTTTTGTGATGATCGAGAACCTTTAGCTTGAATTTATCTACAGTAACATTGCAGACAGCCTTGGTGATAGGAAATGCTGTGGGCTGTCATTTGATGGTTAACCTTTTTATCCAGTAAGACTCCAGAGAAAGTATGCTTCTGCGTAGGATAAAGGGAACTGTCTCTAGAACTTTCTTTTGCACACTGAAACCACGCTACTTTTCTTATCACAAGGCTATTTTCATTAAAACAAAATGAATTTACAAAAAAGAAGACATTGTTGCCTCTCAGTCTGCCTTCACTCTGTTATCAGTAGATTCGACAGGTTTCTTCCCGCCGGTCAGCTCAGGGCTCCGTGGGGCTGGAGGCACACATGACGTGGGCATGTGTGTTTTCACCATGGACGCCTGCCTCGGTTTCCACTGGGCCTGCAGCCTCGGGGACGCAGGGGCATGGCTGTAAGGAAGGGCTCA